CAGCAGGTGGAGGCTGCAGTGACCGGGAGCGGCCACTGCACTCCAGTCCGAGTGACAGAGTGAGACTCCAACTCAAAAAAAAAAAAAAAAAAACCAAAGCACACATAGATCTTTCATTCTAGGCTTTATTTCCATTAAACATAAATAGTTATGCTTTTGGAAAAACAAAAATGCCTCCCCTCCTTTTATTTTTTAAAAATTTTAGGTAAAAGGACAGCTCAACAGGAAAGTTTCCATTTAGCCCTCTTCAACGTTCAGAATTTAAAACAAGATGGCAAGAGGAATGCCTTTTGTTTCATGATTATTGTTTTTTAATCCTACTTGTTTTTAGTTAAACAGTTTAGAAATCTATATAATATTAAAATTCCTTTTATAACTAATCTGTCAAAGTTTACACTGTCCTTTCCCATAAGAAAATTTATAAAAGCATTTCTGGCTGAATTTTAACCAGAAATCACAGCAAATGTTTTAAATACATATTTTCTAAGTATTACACATAATATATTTAGATATAAAGGTATTATGAGAAAACACATCTTCCCATTGTGTCCGTACTGTGGTTAAACCTCACATTTCGCTTCCCTTCCCTACAAATCACTCTCTGTTTCGTTTAACGTGACTACTACCATTTTGTAGTTGAAGTAAAATGTTTAAAATATGAACTAGCATGAGACTAGAAGGGAGATTAAGATACAAGTGGTATGTAGACCTAAATAATTATATTTGTTTTATTTTCATTTTCTAGACTATTTAAAATATTTAATGGCTCAAAATTAAAAGATATCCACATTAATCCCAGCTGAGTACCCTCAATTTATTTCATTTTATTTTATTTTTTTGAGACAGGGTCTTGCTCTGTTGCCCAGGCTGGAGGGCAGCAGTGTGATCACAGTTCACTGCTGCCATGAATTCTAGGGCTCAAGTAATTCTCCCATCTCAGCCTCCCTGGTAGCTGAGATTACAGGTGTACACCACCATACCTGGCTAATACTTTAATTTTTTGTAAAGACAGGGTCTCGCTATGTAACCCAGGCAAGTCTTGAACTCCTGGCCTCAAGCAGTTCTCCCAAAGTACTGGGATTACAGGCGTGAGCCACCATACCTGGGATCAGTTTTTTATTTATACATTTGATTCTTAGGCCAAGTTACTATTTTTGTACGTTACACAGATGAACTTACACTCAAGAAGGTATCAAAAGTCAAAACATGCAAGTCATTTGGGAAAAAAAGGAGAAGGCAAATGATTTATCTCATTTTTAGAAACTTCACAACAAGAACATTATTTTCAACGCACTACTCTAGGACCAGCCATGGAACATTTTAGTTACCTTAAAAAAATCTCATATAGTAAGCATAAATAATAAAAGACCAAACTCTAAAAGCATTTAGTTAAGACGGAGGAGCAGGCAGAGATAATCCAAATGAACAAACCCCAAATCTTTGTAAACAAGCAAACAAACCAAAAAACTCAAGCAGAAAAGGTAGAGAAGAAAGTAGCAAATTCCCCAAATTGAGAATACTCAAGATAATTAAACTGCGGTTTGACACACTGCTAGAGCATAATGCACATGCACTTTTCTGGACTTCACCCTCCAGGCTGATGCTTCTTTCTTGTACCAGGCATGCAGGTGAACACACGCTCCCTTCAGCTACACAGAGATGACCGTTCAGTATACTCATTGGCTTATTAATGAGAATATCAGAGAATAGGTACAAAGCCACCTACCATTGTCACTGTCTCCTTCAGATGGAACACTGTAGCTAGTGCTGTCCCATGTCTGTGCCTGTGTAAGTGTGTTGAAGGAGATAGGAGGAAGAATGAGGGCTGGGTCTGCAGGGGAGCCAGAGAGCCAGTCCGCGTACAGTTGCACAAGGACCAGGAAAAATCAAAGGGGCAGCAGCATTTCACAAATGGCATAGGGTTTGTATGGACATGAAGAGTGGATTTCATTTACATGGGGTTTAATTTCAAATGCATAATATAGGAGAAGAATGAAAGATGGCGCATGGAATAAAAAGAATGATAAAAACTGAGTGTTAGTACTCATCAACCATATACTTTGCATGCAGTTAATATCGTTAATCTTAACAGTTCCGAAAGCCCACAGACTTAGAATACTAATGAGTCAGGTCAGGAGAAAGGAAGAGTACCCATAGGTTACGTAGATAAAAAGCAAAAGACCTACGAGATACCTTTCTCAAAGACTTTCTAAATGACTAACAGGCTTAGCAAATACAATTCACACCAAAAAATGCGGTCACATAGGTCAAAGCTTAATATGTGTAAATATAACTATTATTTAGACATAAAGCTATTATAGAATCATTGTTTACCCATAGTGATTTACTTTTTTCCCAAAGCAATGTAAAAAAATTTTTAAAAGTCATCTGTAGGTCTACTGCCATGCTTTATTGATAGCTGAATCTAGCCAATTCTAGTCTCAGTCATTGACATACCTTGCAATACTGTTTAAAATACTGCTCAGTAAAACAAAAAACAATGTTGGATACTAGTAAGTCTATTTAACAACAAATCCAATTAACCAAAAGAGATCAATCAATATCAAGAACTTTTGAGTTGGTCACTTATGAAATAGTATCTCTTATTTTTGTACTAAATATTCACACAGCAATTTCATATTCATAATTATATATAATTTTTTATTCAACCATAAGGCAGGGCCAATAAAACAAATGAATATTTGGGTATGTGCAGTTGCCTTTCTTTGGGAGGAAAACAGAAGAGAAAAAAAGGTTTCTTTTTAAGAAAACTGTCAGCTTACTTTAAGAATCTACGGTCTTATTCCAAATTGCTAATCTGAGCAGCCTGTTTTTATTTATAACACGGAAATCACATAAATCCACATACTTACTTTCAAAGTAAAAGTTAATTAGCTTTAAGCATTCTAAAGCTACTCACTCAAAAACAGTTTCTATCTTTTAATCATAGTATCTCCAGCTCAGATTACTGTACATGTTGTCTTCCAGAAAATATGAAAAATACACTTAAACATAACATACTATAATATTTTAAAATTACTAAATAAAATGAAAAAAACCCAGTGCATGACACAAGTTTTATAAAGTTCCAACAAGCCACTTGATGTTCCTGAAGATAAATCAGCATTATTTACAGCAACCAGACTCCACAGAGCTTTCAACAACTACAACAATTTCGACAATGGTTGGGTAGCATTACAGAAAAATGGGAAGTTTGGAAAGGAAATTATAGCTGTTTTTTGCTGTTCAAAATAAATATACCATTTATTTTTGACCACTACAAAGAATACAAAATAGCTTTAACAGTGCCAGTACAATACAATCCCTAACTTTGATAAGTTGAGTTTAGACTTCAAGAAAAGAATTAAAAAGCCACTAGAATAATTTTATAATTAAATTGCAAGCTGCACGTTCAGATAATAAAATTATTCTTTGGAGATCCATTCAACTTTTGATTTGCTCAATTATGAATTATTTTTAAATTTTGTAAAGCTGCCTATAAAGATTAGGAGATAAAGTCCATAGCTCAGTGTGAGGTCCTCAGTATGTGGAGATAAGTTTCCTGGTGGGTCACTGAAGGCATAGATGAGGCATGCCAGGAATCACCTCTATTCCTCCTAGGACACACCTGAGACTGTGGAAACGGAAGCCCAGCCAGGGGCCCTCAGCCCAGACCTGGTCACATATGTTTAGTTCCATACACAAATGGAAAAGACCAAGCCACTTGTGTCTTTTTTTCATGTACAATTTAGCTCTCCATAAAACACCCACTAACTCTTGTCACACGTTAGCATTTTCTCACATGGCTTTTTTCATATAGTGCATGCAAATTGCCAGGAAACTATTACACTTGGCCACATGTTACCAAGGGTACAACCTGCTCCAAGAATGAAAAACATTCCCCTTAATAAAGAATCATCTTAACAAGGAAAGAAGAGGTAGAAAGCACCATAATGCCAAAGACTTAGGCTACACGGAGCTGTCAACGAGAATTATCCAATTTGCTGTGAGTTACCTAGTTACCAAAGCAGAAAGTTAGGCCAATTTTATATTAAAAATTATTGGTCCTTAAAAAAAATTTTTTAAAATAAAGAATCATCTTTATTTGTTTTTCCTATGGGTATCTTTCTCCAAAATGGATACATGTAAACTTCTACTGTTGTCAAAATACTTAACTGGAAAATTCAGTAACATCTGAGTTCTACACAAGCTTTTGCTTAAAAGTGCCTAAGTCCTTTATCAGCACTTGCTTAAAGGCATAGGTAGTGAGTGTATACTAAATAGCAAACAACAAAAATATTAAAACAAAAACCTAAAAGGAAGACAGCACCGTAACTTCAAGTAAACGGAGAAATCAGAAGAACCACATTTTTCTACACAGAGTCCTTCTTTTCAAAATCAATAGTTATTTGGAACATTGCTATAATTTACCTTTGTGAATAAACTAATAACAAATGATAAAATAGGTAACAAAAGCAAAATGTTTCCCCAAAAAGCTCTTAAAACAGTAACTCCTGACCATTCACACAAGCCTTGAAATGATCACCCTGTAATGTGAGTAAATGCATGGAACCACCCAAGCTCAGACACCAAATGAGGGTGTCTCAGAAAGGAGTCACTTTCCTCAAAGCAGGTGGCTCTGCAACTCAGCAGCGCACCAGAATCCACCAGGGCAAAACGGCGACTGTTTTGTTTTCCTCAGGTAAAAAACTCAATAGAGCATTTCTTCCCCACTGACATCTTCCCACCACTTTTTTTCCCCCTTTGCTCTGATTCAAAAAAAGATAAGATATCCATTATTGATAACATGGACTTAGCTGATTCACTGAAAACGAAGTTCCATACTCTGGCCTCCCTCAGCTGTAACAAGGTGTTGATGCTGGGATTTCAACTCAGCAGAACTGACAAGGATGTACACGCTGATATTGATAATACTTTCAAAGGCTCAAGAGAAAACACTGAGTTATTTAGTGGAAGAATGGGTGGAAGTTTTAATTTACCTGATCGAGGCTTCAGGCCAAACGGAGCTGTGCTGTTTGTGGTAGGAGAGACTGCAGGGGAGTTCTCTCTCATCTGTGATGTTAGAAGGAAAAGAAATTAGAAAAACCAGAAGCAGAATGATGTATGCTTCTCTGTGGTCAAGGATGATAATAAAACCACTCCCTTTTTTACATTTGCAACTGTGTGAGCTAAAAAAAAAAAATCACTTTGCAAATGATTTAAGTGGTATAATCAAAAGAATGTTATTTTGAATAACCCATTCAATTTTTTACCTGCTCTTTATAAAAATATTTTACAATCACATGAAACTGGCAATACCCCTCTAGCACAGTTGTGCGCATGGGTGTGTATACACACACACACACACACACACACACACACACACACACACACACACACACACAAATACACCTAGGTCTCAAGAAAAGCCCATCTGACAAAGACTCTCAAATACAAAGAAATAAGGAAACAGGTAACACAGAACAGAAGTCTCATCTACAGAGAAACTACACACTGAATCATTCACGGATAACAAGACACTCTAAATGTTGCCTATTTGAGTGATTTTCATTCTGCTTTCTGGGTTTTGTTTTGTTTTGTTTGAGTCAGAGTCTCATTCTGTCACCCAGGCTGCAGTGCAGTGGCATGCTTATGGCAACTGCAGCCTCAAGGATCACAGAAGGATTGCTTGAGCCTTCCAAGTAGCTGGAACCACAGGTGTACACCACCACATCTTCCTAATTTTTTGATTTATTATAGAGATGATGTCTCACCACATTGTCCAGACTGGGTTCAGGATTCATTCCTCTTGCCTCTGCCTCCCAAAGTGCTGGGATTACAGGTGTGAGCCACTGAGCCCAATGTGTTTTCTTACAATGATGTTCCCATGTTTGATTTTCAAAGTCTTATAAAAATTAATTTTTAGTTATGAATAGGCCAAATAAGGCTATGATAGCTAATGAGGGTGAGATAGATTCCCCCAGAGACTCTTTAATCACAACCATCTTAGATTATATACATCTGTAAAAGACATCCCAGTTTAAGTTTCATGTAATTCCTCACCTTCCATTAATCTTCAGGAAACTTACCTCATTTGGGGAATACTGGCTCCCATTACTCTGTAATGTTAGATCGTTTTGCACCTTAAAGAAGAAAAAAAAAATGGTATGTTCCACTAGACTGCAAAACTGCTGAGGCAAGAACTGCATCTTTCTTATTTCCATCATATCCATGGACCACAGGCACACAGTGAATACATGTTGAATTATTTAGTGTGTTAAGTAACTAAATACTTGTATTTTCTGAAAACATTCAGCTGTAGTCACAGACAAATACATCTAAAGTATTACACAGACTAAGATAAAGAATTTCCTAGAACAGAGTTCACTCTAAAATATCTGTGGACATCAGCTTACTCTACTAGGTTACCAACCTGCCTGCTGGCTCCCATCCCCATTTTAATTATGAGTTTTTAGAAGTGGCACAAGGCAGCAGTTCTGGAACATTCAGAATCTCATTGGGAGTTTTTAACAGAAACACATGTACAGACCCCACGCCACCTGGGCAAATCTCATATTGTCAGTTCGACACCAATTTGCTTTGGCAACTACCGGTTAAGAAAAAAAGTTTAAGAAATTTTTCTATGGTAAAGCATGCAAGATTTATAAATGGTCATGGAGGAGAGTCAAGATGATATCCTGGTTTCTAAGCAGGAATGGTTGGATGGGTGGTGGCATCACTGAATACCACTGAGGATATGGGAGAAGTTGAAGAGGAAGTTGACAGCTGCCGTTTAGTATGTAGAAAATGAGAAGCATAGAAATGAACTCTGAATGCTGAGGTGGGGGGGGATGCATTTGGGGCATAAGCTACAGATTTGGAAGTCATTACTATTTATGGGGTGCCTGAGCTCATGAGAGAGGTCACATGGTCCAGGGAGACAGTGTAGAAGGTGAGGAGCAGGGGCTGGGGGCAGAATCCTGGAAAACCAGCATGTAAGGGCCACATAAAGACATGGGGTCCACAGGGGCACACTCTAGTTTATCTTACCCAGGCCTGCCTTCTTTATATGGTCATCAAAAACTCCACTGATCCACCCTAATACAAAATTGGGTGCTAGCCAGTATAACCATCATATGTGTATATGCCACTGAATTAGTGAAAATGTGCCTGTTCCTAGTCATTATTAAAGACTGCTATTAAAAAATATTTCCAACTTTGACACAAATCCAAGGGAAAACATATTTTTAGAATAAAATGTCATTAACGTCCTCATCCAACTAAATGGCTTTGTTGATAATGCTAACAAGTAACTCAGGGTTGATTCTTTCCATAAGCAACTCCTCCAGTTTCTCCTACTGTTCCCGCCTCCACACACCCTCCCCAATGCGGTATTATTTATGTATGTGCATGCAATTTGCAACTCATCCTGAATGGATGCCAGCACCACCCACTCTTGATGTGAACAGTCATCCAAAGTATGTGTAAAGTCGAATAATGTGATGTGCTACCAATTACAAACCACTTCCCAATCCTGGCCGGCCCTTTCTGCCGGGCTCACACACTGTGCGGATTCTACCACGGCCAAGCTGCCTTGCTCGACCATCTCCTAACTGAACTGTCAAAAAGCCTTAGTTACTTCTGTCTCGGTCTCCTTAAGCTTTCTATCTTTTCCCCAGTGTCCCCTAGCATCTAAAACAGACTCAGGATTGCAGACGTTCTCATATTTTTCTCTCGGTTTTATATAAAATTTAGTTTTACATCTAAATCTTCTTTCCTATCTAAAATTTAGTTTTATATCCAAATCTTCTTTCCTCTTCTTTTTTTTTTTTGTTTTTGTTTTTTGAGTTGGTGTCTCACTCTGTCACCCAGACTGGAGTGCAGTGGCCACTCCTGGCCACTGCAGCCTCGACCTGCTGGCTCCGACGATGCTTCCGCCTCAGCTTTCCGAGTAGCTGGAACTACAGGCGTGCGCTACCATGCCCGGCTGATTTTTTGATTTATTGTAGAGATGAGGTCTCGCCAAGTGGCCCAGGAGGGTCTCGAACCCGCGAGCTCAGGCAATCCACTCACCTCAGCCTCCCAAAGGCGTGACCATGCCCGGCTGATTTTTTGATTTATTGTGGAGATGAGGTCTCGCCAAGTGGCCCAGGAGGGTCATGAACCCGTCAGCTCAGGCAATCCACTCACCTCAGCCTCCCAAAGGCGCGGGATGACAGGCTGAGCCACCAAGCCTGGCTCTTTTTTTCTTTTTTTTAAGTCAGGGTCTCACTCTGTCATGGAGATGTGTCTGGAGTATAGTGACACCATCACGGTTCACTGTAGCCTTGAATTCCTGGGCTCAAGCAATCCTCCCACCTAATCCTCCCAAGTAGCTGAGACTACAGGTGTGTGCCACCATGCCTGGCTAAATTTTTCAATTATTTTGTAGAGACAGGGTCTCACTATGTTGCCAAGGTTGGTCCCAAACTCCTGAGTTCAAGAAATCTTCCCGCCTCGGCCTCCCAAAGTGCTGGGATTACAGGTGTGAGCCACCATGCCAGGCCAATCTCCACAATTTTTTTTTTTTTTGAGTTGGAGTCTCACTCTGTCACCCAGACTGGAGTGCAGTGGCCGCTCCCAGCCACCGCAGCCTCAACCTGCTGGGCTCCGGCGATCCTTCCACCTCAGCCTTCAAAGTAGCCGGAATTACAGGTATGCGCTACCATGCCCAGCTGATTTTTTGATTTATTGTAGAGATGAGGTCTCGCTGCCCAGGCAGGTCTCGAACCCGCGGGCTCAGGCAATCCACTCACCTCAGCCTCCCAAAGGCGCGGGATTACAGGCTGAGCCACCAAGCCCAGCAACAATTTTTAAAGTTCCTTAAAAGCAAAGGCAACTCCATAGCCTTCATATTCTAGTCCTCTACACCAAAAACATGACTAAACCCAGCACAGGCATTTAACAACTACTGACTAACTGATGCAACACTACAAGGCAGGATGAAAGAAAAACTGGGTTACTTTTTGGAGGGTGAACCCCTTGTGGTACAGGCTTCCCCCACTATGTAAGTGTTCTAGAAACATCAGCATCAGTGTACTAGCTGACAGTGTTTGGCTTCAGTGAATTTTTTTTGGAGATTCTTTCAACGCATTTGCCATTTCATCATGAGCGACTTACAAGCACACCTGCCCATACCACCCTGAGGGTTTAGCAATTGTTGACCAAAAACACCATGACCCCCAAGCCCCATCATCCCTATTTACCCTATCTCTCCTCAAGCAACTTTTTTTGTTGTTGTTTCCCTGATGAAAAAAGTCCTCAAGGGGAAACATTTTGCTGATGTGGAAGAGGTGAAACAAAAAACAGCAGAAGCTCTAAAAGGCATCAAAATTGATGAGTTCAAAACTATTTTGAGCAATGGGAAAAGTGTCTTGTAGGTGTACTGCATCAAACGAAGAGTAATTTGAATGTGACTGAAGATTAAACATATAAGAATACACAATTTTAATAGATAAATTCCAGATTTTTTGATACCCCCCTTGTATGATGAAAGGTGTTGCTTCTGCCTGAATGAGATGGATGAATACAAAAATAACCAAATCATGAATGAGGATCATATTTAAGTTTGGCATAATCCGTATTATTGACCTCACAAATCCATGACTTCCTTTTCTTTTCCTTCTTGCAGTGACTTTCTTCTTCCACCAGAGTCAACTTTTTAAAAACATGGAGATGTGTCTGTCAAGGACAGAGAAAGACGACAAAAAGAGTTCCTCCCGTATGCCAAATATGACTCCTCATTCAACCAGAAAAGAAAAAACTCCTACACTGTATTAAAATAACACAAAACATTGTAATTTGGAGACAGAGTAGGGCTATCTTTTTTTCTTTTTTTTTTTGTTTCATGTCTTCCTGGTGCTCATGAAATCATGGACGTAGGAATATGCCTTTCTAAAACTTTACTGGAGTGAAAGTTCATGGACATTTTAAGCAGCATCCTTAAATAAAGGTGCAAAGGTAGGCTGGACCTGGTATCTCCTGTGTGTTCAGAATAATAATACAATACTGCCCAGTTAGAGCAGAAAATCTGCTCTAGAGGACAGAGTGCAGCAGCTTGCTGGGAAGCCCTCCCAGCACCAGGTGCTAGGCCTGTGCAGAGTTGCAGCTCAACACCTATTGGTTTAACTGCTAGTTGGTGATGGGATAAACAGACACATCGTTAGAAGCAAGCTAGGGTGCCCAACTGACGAAATTATTGACACATTTGTTTGGAAGACAAATTTCCTACTTTAGGAGAATACTAGGCTTTTCCACATAATGAAGCCAGTATTTTTAAACTTCAGGAAGATACCATGAAGCTTTATGAGCATGCGGAAAAATGTCAGGTGGGTTTCAATTTAGACAAGCAGAAGGAAATGAATTTAGAGGAACATCATATATCCTTTACTAAAATGACGGAGTATAGCCGGGCTCCGTGGCTCAGTCTGTAAACCCGCACTTTGGGAGGCTGAGGTGAGTGAATTGCCTGAGCCCGCAGGTTCGAGACCCGCCTGGGCAACTTGGCGAGACCTCATCGCTACAATAAATCAAAAAATTAGCCTGGCGTGGTAGCACAAGCCTGTAGTTCCAGCTACTTGGAAGGCTGAGGCCGAAGGATCGCCGGAGCCCAGCAGGTCGGGCTGCAGTGGCCAGGAGTGGCCACTGCACTCCAGTCTGGGAGACAAAGCGAGACTCCAACTATAAAT